AACAGCACGAGGGTCACAAGGGGATGGTCAAATTTCACGAGAGTCAAACGTCACGAGAGTCATAAGGGAATGCCTAAATTTCACGAAAGCCAAAGTCACGGGGGTCACAAGGAGATGATCAAATTTTACAAGGGTCAAAAGTCACAAGGGTCACATGGAAACAAGGTTCACAAGTGTCAAACGTGACGAGCGAGACAAGGAGACGATCAAATCTCACGAGGGTCAAACAGCACGAGGGTCATAAGGGAATGGTCAAATTNGGGTCAAACTGAGAGGGTCACAAGGGAACGATCAAATTTACGAGTCAGTACGAAAGTCACAGGGAGATCGCCAATTATTGAACTTTCCAGGGCCCGAAATATGATCCCGTGAAAAATTCAATAAACTTGAATAATGAACATCATTATCTTTCCTGCAAAGAGTTGGAGATTGTTCCATGTGATTCTTAAAGATCGTTAAAGCATCGTATTTCCTTGTGACTCTTATGATCGTTTGCTCCTCGCTCCTTTGACGTTGGACCTTCGTGGAAAATGACCATTGAAACATTCAAACGTCATAACATTTCATTATTCCTTTGTGACTCTCGTGACATTTGACCCTCGTAAAATTTGACCATCCCCGTATGACTCTTGTGTCGGTTGACTCTCGTGAAATTTGACCGTCTCCTCGCGACCCTCTTGCTGTTTGACCCTCCTGAAATTTGATTATCTTCTTGTGACCCTTGTGTCGGGTCACTCTCATGAAATTTGATCGTCTCTTTGTGATCCTCGTGCCGTTTCCATCCCGTGAAATTTGACCAATAAAAAAAAAAAAATTCTAAGAGAATTCGAATTTAGAGAGAAAAAATTTCCGCTTCACCCAGCCGGGAATCGAACCCGGGTCTCGCAGATACGCGCCGGGCACTCCCCCGTGAGACCCTCGTGACGTTTGACACTTGTGAAATTCGACCACACTCTTGTGACCCTTATGACGTTTGACTCTTGTGAAGTTCGACCATCCCCGTGTGACTCTCGTGCTGTTTGCCTCGTGAAATTTGAACATCTCGTTTTGTCTCGTGCCGTTTCACTTTCGTGAAATTTGACCATTCCCATATGACCCTCGTGTCGGTTGACTGGTGAAATTTAATCGTCTTCCTTGTGACTTTTGTAGAGTTTAACCCTCGTGAAATTTGATCATTCCCTAGTGAATCTCATGACGTTCCACCCTCGAATGAAGAAAATAATAATTCTGTGCAAAATGTAATGTGAATGACACTGAATATTCATAACTTATCTCAATTTTTCCTTGCGTAATTTAA